GAGGAAGGGCTGTGCGGCTGCAGAAACATCTCGGGCATACCTGTGAGAGACGAGGAGGGGAGCGTCTGGTGCAGGTGCTGCTCAAGTGCAAGATGTTAGCATGGTCCAGCCTAAATGCTGAGATGTGGGGCCTGATCCTCAGCCTGGCTCCTGCCCCTTCCTCCCCTTCCGCGTGCACTGGGTGTTACAATCCAGTCTAAGGCAGGTTGCACAATTTATTTTCCTGTACTTAAAGCAGGATTTTGGCAGTCAGGGTCGGGAGGCCTCTCTGAGGAGCGCTGGCTGGGCGCCCTCCTGCTGTCACGGGATCACGCTGCTGTCAAAGGCTCTGCTCCGCCGGGCGTCCTTCAGCGTGGCCTTCTGCCACAGCTTTGGGGCTGATGGAGGAACTGCTTGGGTGGCCAAGACACTGCTGACATCTTCAGCAAGTGTAGGTGGGAGCAGTGATCACCCCAGTGTGGGTGCTCTTGTGCCAGACTGAGGTGAGACCCATCATTTCCAATTCCCATGACGTGGCAGCTATAACGACTCATTCTCTTCTGCCATCTGCCCGTGCAGAGAGACACCATCCCATCTTTAAAGCATCTTTTCTCAGTGGTCCCAAGCTCTTGTTTCCTGCTGTCTCCATCACCTGGCTTCCCTACAGCCAGCTGGTAAATTCATGTGTATAAAGGGAGAGCAGGAGATACAGGAACATTACAGTGGTTGCCACTTCAGGAATATGCAAAGGGATTTGCTATTACGTTCGCTGACGGTGTAAGGGAGGGAAAGGATGTGAGTGCTAATTCGTGCTCTGCATGAGCGCTATTAATGTCACTGATGGTAATTTAATTGCTTTGTGAGGAGAGTGGCGGGTGAGGCTGAGCATGCCCGGGGAGGGAGGATGAGATAGTTGGGAGTGATGAAAGTGTTCATGGCCAATAAAGGGCACGAGGGTGATGTGGCCAAAACAGCTGGAGAGAAATATCAGCTCTGCCCACGTGCTTGGCCCTGTCGTGCTCAGACTGGAGGGTGGAGAGTTGGCAGATGTGAAGCCCAGAGCATGGAGTAGCTGAGGTTGAAGGTACTTGACGCATGGGGTGGATTTTCCAGGAGAAAAGGTGAAGAAAAAAGAAAGAGTAGGAGATGATGGTGAAGTTGGGAGTTTGGGGAATGGGAAAAAAATCATGGAGTTACCCATCCGCTGGAGCAGGGTGGGGAGGACTTGGAGGGGATGTCCTGTTTTTGCCACAATGATCTCGAGTTGGCAGTGGGACATGCAGGAAGGTTTATGAGCGGGAGAGGCCGGGTGGAGATGTCGGTCTGCGAGTCCTCGGAGGAGAGATGAGCTCACCAGGGAGAGGGTGTCAAGGGGGCCGAGGCTGAGGACTGAGCGTCGAGCCTGTGGGGCTGGGATGGGGGCCAGCTTGTGGAGGGATGCCATGGTGGGGAGAGGCTTAGTGGGATGTTCTTGGGTGTATGGGGGATGTAGGGGACAGGCTGAGCAGTTGGGGGGCACTGGAGGAGGAGGAGGAGGACATGAATGTTTTGCTCTGTCTGTGGTCACAGAGTAACTGGCATCTCCTTGCACCTTGTTTCAGCACGAGGGTGAAGCATGTTTTGTTTCACCACCATGCTGGGAGGTGATGTGGGGAAGTGGAGACAGTCCCTAACCTGGGGCTGAAGCTGGAGTGGGGAGAGGAAGGGATGGAACTGGGGGGTTGTGGGGTGGGATCCCCCAGGGGAAGAGCCGTTTGAAGGAAGGGTTTTTGAGAGGCTCGGGGCTCATTTTCTCCCATCCTACCATCCTATTTCTGCAACAACAGTTAAACTTAAAAAAAATAGCCCTCAACCCCTGCCACCCATGGAGGCCAAAGTGAGAGAAGCCATTGGTTTTACCATGAACCCTGTGGAAAGGTGAGCCTGGAGACCACAAAAACGGACACCTACAGTTAAAAAATGAGACAAGGCAGAGTGTTAGCGCAGCCGGACACAGCAGCAGCCCATGCTGAAGCGAGCAGCACTGGACTGTAGGGAACAGCGTGGAAAGGATGCAGCTGAGTGCCCCTGGCTTGTGGAAGGGTAAGGGACAAGTGAGATGCACTGGCTGGGGGCAGCTTGGAGTGTGCTGGGAATCTGGCACCGCATCCCCTCCAAATCCAGCACCCCACAGCACAGGGATGGAGGCAGGATGCAGGTCCCTGACTCTGCATCTACGGGCAGTTCTTGCCCCCTCCCAGCCCAAACGTACCTTGACACCACTGGTAAGATGCTTCCAGCAGCACATGTAGCAGCTGTGGCCCCTTGGCTGCAGGCAGGGGAGGAGAGCACTGTTTTAAGCAGATGAATATCAGTGCCCTCTTAACAGGAGGAAGTCGCAGACTTACTGAAATCTAAGATAAGTGGCCTCTTAAGCCAGCGGTGTGTCAGGTGGTTAAGGCAGAAGATTAGTGAGCAAGCTCTCCTTCCACTGATGGGAAAGCAGGGATGTAGCCTGCGGTCCAAACGTAAGCATCTCCTGAGGAGAGACAGGAGAAGGGACAAGGACAGCCTTAGTGTCCCTTTTGCATTGTCAAGAGACACCATGTGGGCACCTCTCCTCCTAGCTAAGGACTCTCAGGAGGAGACCAACAACAATTAGGTGTTTGCAGCATGTGCTGTTTTTACACAGCCCGGTGGAGCCTGATTGCTAGGAGAAGAAAACCCTGTGGCTCATTCAGCATGAACTCATTATTTAATAGACAAAGTAAATATGAAAAAAAGGCACTTCCCACCTCCCCCCGGTGCTGAAATTTACAGTTGTGAGAAGAGCCAGAGCGCTGCAGAGCTGGGGTCTGGGTGACGTTTACAGGGCTCAGCTTTCATCGCAGCTTGAAAAAATCCTGTGCGCAGAGATTATCTCCACACTGATCTGGATTGTCTTGTTCAGCTTTGGCCCTTATCCTAGATGGACAATGAACAGAAAACTGGGCCAGTGGCCTGAGGTCTGTGACCTCCTCTGCATGAGCTGGGAAGAGGAGGAACAGTATCCAAGGTTCTTGAGAACTTGCAGCCTTGGGGGGCTAAAGAGATGGAATCGTGGGGGCAAAGCTTAGATCACCCCCTGAGGATGCTGCACCCTTGACCAACCAAGCCATTGAAAAGGCAATCCCTGCTCTGGTGAGATCTCTGGTTTGCACTGAAGTGAATCAACCTGTGGTGGCTCCACCTTGGCATCTCCCCAGGGTGTCAGCCCCCCCTGCCACCTGGCACCCTTTGCTTAGGGTTTTTTGGAGCTGGGGCTGAGCAGGCAGGAGGGAGGCAGCTGGGGTGTACTGGGGGGATGCCTTGATACAAACCTCCCTTGCCCTGTGCTGCTTCAAGTCAGTTGTCAGCAGCCTTCCAGCCGGATGGTGTCTGGAGACCTTCCAGCGACCACAGACTCTCCCCCAGCCCATCACTGCCACAGCACAGACGGGATTTAACGTATGTCTGCGCGTTCCCCCAACCTTTCCCCTCTCAAGACAAAGCAAGGAAGAAAAACAAGACTGCAGGTTTGGAAGGACTCCCTCCTCCAGCCCAAAGGGTGACGATCACAGTTCCAGACTTTTCTGGACCACGCAGGGAACTCCCAGCTCGCACAGAAGGGCTCAGCAATGCCACCCCATGCCGACTCCTTGCCGCAGCATGGACAGATGTTCCTGTTGGCTCAAGGTGCCATTTTGAGGTTTTTCTCTGCTCCCCTTTTGCCTCTTGACTTGCAGACAAGTGGGTGAGTGAGAGAGGAATGGGTTTGCTTTCTACCTCCCCTCGCAGTGCCCCTCTGCTTATTAGTTCTCCAAATATTTCATCCTGCAGCAAGGACTCTGCACTAACCCAATCCTAGGCAGAGGGGAAGCCGGAGCGGGTAGGACAGCGCGTTATCCTCATGGCATCGCTCCAGGCCAGCCTGCAGGGAGCAAGACAGGGCAGCTGGGGCCCTGCTGTACTAAATCTTGGTGGTCGGGGCACACATGGCAGCATCCCTCTGGCTTAGACCTACTCTCACGCTTCCCAAGGGCAAGACAGTGATAGTGGCAGAGCATGAGCATTGCCTTTCCCCCCAGCAGTGTCTTTCCCTCACCCCCCAAAATTGCTCCACTTTATACTTTTGCTTTTCTCAGCAGCAAACAGGACGGGGGACTGTCCCCAGAGCCCTCACTGGGTGTAGAGAACAGGCATGTGGAGAAAGAAGAGGGGACCTGTTTGTGGGATACTGGTGAGCAAGGTGGGGGCAATTATGGGACAGAGGAAAAGAAATCCCCTGGGATTTCCTCCCATCAGCTCCCAGCCCCATTAAGAGTCACTGAATTACAGGTACAATGGCCTCTCTGGACCCTCTTCACAGTCTCCAGCTGAACAAGATGCTGGAGAAGTGAGGGGGGAAGAGGGGGGCTTGCAAGGGGAAGGGGAGCATGGTGGGAACATTGCGTCCTCTGACAGCTCTGGGCAGCTGCTGAGGAGCTTCTGTAAATCAGAGTGGCCACTGGAGCTGCTCCAAAATCCAGCCAATGCCTGGGAGGCCATCGAGCACCCCACAACAAGGGGATGCAGGAGTGTCCCATGGCCCCCTCATATACTGATCATCCTGGCTGGGCTCTCCCCACATGGAGCTTAACTCCTGGGGACAGTGCTGCCTTGTCGCCATCTGCCCATCCTTTGCAATGCACCTGGCTGCACATGCTGGCTGTGCTCCATCCCCTCCCGAGGCTCAGCCAAGGCAAGCAGTGCTCTGGGATGCTCAGCACATGCCTTAAATAAAAATAACTGCGATAGAAGATACCGAGTGCCTAACGCTAGCCTTGGCTTAAACACCTCCTGTTTGCAATGCTCCGGAGTCAGCGGGAGCTCATCCGATGAGAGCAGGCGTCACGCAGGTCCCCAGCCAGCCGCTGAGAGCAGACATGTCCCTGCTGGCACAGGACACCAAGGGGCTCTGGCTTCAGCAATAAATAAAGCAAGTAAACAAAACAAAATAAAATCCAACAATGGTCAATTTTTTGAAACTTTAAATATTTTTTTTTTTTCTTAAAATCTGTTTTCCTCTGGGGCTTTGTCTCTGTAAAGAGCTGCGCTCTCCCTGCAGCATCTGGGTTACTTCCTCAGTCCTGGCTCTGGGGCAAGGGAGAAGCAAGGTCAGTTAGAGACGGGGACAGATGGGTGCTTCCCTCTGTGCATCACCGGCATGTATGGATTTCCACCACCCGATGGCAGGGTTTGCACTTGACGGAGCAGCACCAGTGGAATTTGCAGCTGCACCTTTCCACAACCTCCACTTCGTCCGTATGAAAGCCCCGGCCGCAGCACATCAGCTCGCAGCCATCGATGGCCTTGGAGGTCTTGTTGCACTGCCGGCCACTGGTGCCCAGCACCCCGTTCTTGAGGTCGTGGTCACAGAAGTCGGGACTGGAGTCCAGGTAGACGAGGTCCTCGTCTGTGTGCGGCTTGAACTGGGAGTTTTTGGGCACCAGCACTTTTGTGGATCCAATCTCGCTCTGCTCGACCTCTGTGGCACCGTCGAATTTCTCCTTCAGGACGTTTCCCACTTTGCGGAAGGGGGGCATGGCTTTCCAGCACGTCTTGAACTCGCACGAGCCTGACACACCATGACACTTGCACTCCACCCGCATGTTGTTCAGGATCGCCTGGAGGAACAGACACAAGAAACAAGATGGGACGGTCGGCTCAGGATGGATGCAGAAAGAAGGGTGCAACGTATGGGGTCTGGAAGGATTGTGCAAGAAGTGATGTTGATGTACGTGAGCTGATGGGATTAAATAAAGCCAAAATGGCTCAAGCAATGGCTGCAGAGCCCAGCTGGGATGCTGCAGAGCCGCTCTGGCTGCCCAGGTTTCCCCCTCACCATTACCTTCCTCCCTGCCTCGTTGTTGTGGAGGTTCATTAACGCTCTGTTGGAAGAAGCCCCTTTGCTCCTCTCGCGGACGTCAACGAAGGACTGTGAGAAGGCCACGCCGTAGGCGATGTTATCGGAGCAGCCTGACCACTGGAAGCCTAAGGCAGAGAGCACAGATGAGACATACAGCCAGCTTGCCCTGCTCGTCCTCTCCAGCCCTGCTCTTGCTAAAATACAGCTGACCTGCCCCCTCTTCTATCTTGCTGCTGACTAGGCTGGGCTGCCTAGGGGATTGGGGAAGCTGGGGACTGTGGCCCTGTGGGGGGAACATGGACAAGATGCTTTCTCTGTCCCATGGGTGATGCTCCCAGATGCCTTTTTGAGGGACTCATGTAGACTAACAGGAGGCTTTTTTTTTTTAATTTTTACCTCCTTTCTGGATGGCTCCAGAAAGTGGGCATTTCCATCCTTGGCCATTTTGCAGCCCTGCTCGTTTGTCCCATCCCTCCGCCCTTGCATGCTCACCCTGTGGGCTGCCCCCCTGCACCGTGCGGTCACATCCACACTTGTCCAGCTCGCCGCTGCTGCAGGCTCGGGTCACTGCGAAGGCCACCCCTGCTGAAGAGATGGCATAGACGAATGCTGCCTCCCGTGTCCCTGCAACAGCACAAACAATGGTGGGAAACGTGGCAGCAAGTCTGAGGCACGCAAGAGGACTTTCTGGAGGGGGTGCAGCCAGGTGGCCAAAGGCCCTTGATGTGCTGCTGCATGTGTCTCTGCTCCTCTTCCCTCCTAACGCTGGTGTTGCACATAAACCCCCTTGAAAAGCTGGTCTGAAAACTGGCTCAGCAAAACATGCTATGCAGAGCTATCAGGTCAAGCCCTTTGTTCTGTCTCTTCCTCCCAAGATGGGGTACCTCATGCAGGACACTCATCCTCCCCACTCCTAGGGATGCTGTTTGCTTAGTGCCAAACCTGGACCAGTCTCAGCAGAGACACTTCGGTGCTGGGAGATCGTCTGCAGCAGTGACAGTCCTGTCTTGCAATAGTGAAGGAGCTGGGAACTGTCCCACAAGGTTAAAAACATGAATGCAATGGGTAAATTACAACCTGGCAATAAGGAAGGTGCAAAGGCTGTATTGCCAATGTGGGGAGAGCTCTCCAGAGCTTATATGGAGAGACTGTCTTGCCTGGTGCTTGCAGGGCACCTCTGCCATGAAATCCCTCCTGCATCCAAAATAGCTGGCTGCTTTCCACATCCAGGAACATCCCCTGCAGCTGCAGATCCTTGCCATCCTCTCACACAGGGTCCTGTAGCTCCCAGCACCTCCCAAACTACCCTGCAAAACCCCACTCTGCTCCCAAAGCGCCTTGCAAAACCATGCTGGTCCCCAGTGTGCAGCCCCTTCCCAGCTCTTGCATCTACCTATGTGGTGCCACGCGGTCAGGAAGAGCTGGTTTGGGAAGTCAGGGGACATCCCTGGGCATAAACACACAGGGCAGCATGGCCAGGGATCAGCTCTTGCAACACCCAAATCCCCACCGTCCTCCGAGGCCGGTTGAGGATACAGCCCCTCCATCTCTGAGCAAGGAGGGTTGGCATTTCGGGTAGCCCCATGCTTGGTGTAGAGGGGGGGACGGCTTGTGAGCAGACATCACCCCGGCTTGCCGGTTGGACATAGAGCAGCTACTTTGGTGGTCGCAGCCCAGACTTTGGTGGCCCAGCTGTAATCTGGCCCAGGCGGCAGTGGCTGGGGAGGACCCAGCCAGCGCGGGGACTGAACCGCCTCCAAGTTAATCGAGGTTAATAGTAGGATCGTGTTGGTCGGTTTGTGCTGTGGCTGCCTAAAAAGAGACGACTTTTAGTTTCTGGTATTTCTGGTATTTCCAGTCCCTGAACCTTCACAAGAAGAGATCTTCACCCCTGCGTTGAGGGGAGGAAAGTCAAACAAGGAGCTGGGGGGGAGGCTTTGTCTATGGGTCCTGGGATGGGAAGTGAGAGGGCGCATCAGAGATGGCAGTGGCACCTGAGGGGAGGCAAGGGCCGCTTTGGTGGTCTCTAGGGGTTGCAGAGAGGCTTTCCCCTCTGTCTCCTCACCCTGATGCTCTGGTTCCTTGCTTGGTTTGATCACAGCCCTGTGCCTCTGGGACGCCTCTGTGCAGCGGGGGTCAGAGGGGCTAGGGGCTGCCCTGGCCATAAATCCCCCCGAAGGCTGGCAGCTGGGTGGTGGTGGTGGGTGATGATGCTGACCTTGGAGGGTCCAGCCACCGCGTGTTTTACTCACATCGGGCGGCAGAGGGCTGTCCTCCCAAGGTCTCGCCCACAGACGGCTCTGCTTGAGAGCAGCACACCAGTCTGGCAGCGGTCACCGCTTCGGGGCTGCCCAGAGAAGAGACCGAATAAATGGAGCCACGGCTTTGCGGAGCGAAGCTCCTGGGCTTGGCGGGGAAGAGATTAGACCGCAGGGCGACTGCAGGGCCCCCCGCTCGAACTTGGCATGTCCTTGTAAAAGATCCAGGCTCTCCGGATGCTCTGGGCTGCTGCCTCCATGCAATGGGCACCCGCTGGGTGTGAAAAAGGTTTGGGGGGGGCAGGAGCGCCCAGCAGCTGAGGAACTGCAAGGGTCTGGATATGCTGCCCCCAACACAGTCAAAAGAGCCCTGCTGAAATGCCCAGGGAAGACCCGTCAGCCCCAAGATCCAACACTGGGCCATTCTCTACTCTCCCCAGCCGCTGGCTCAGGGGCAAGCAAGCAAAACCCATCCGCAGCCCACTGGGCTGCTGTTGTAGCCATTCCCCCCATGCAGCATCACCCCAGGCATGCATCCTCCCGGCTCACCTTGTGTTACGACCTTGCCAAAGACAGGCAGGGTGTCCAGTGTGGAGCAGTTCCAGCGGCGGTTGCGGAACTGGTACTGGCACTCCTCAATGGCCAGCTGGGCTCCACGCCGCACCGAGTCCATCACCTCCAGGTTCCTCTTGCACATCTGCACCTGGCGCTGGATCAAGCCCTTCAGCTTCTCGCAAGTCTCCTCCTCGGAGATGCTCCCCACTGAAGACAGCTTTGCCAGGTACCTGCCGCAACAGCCAGCACAACTGGTTAGGAGGTAAGGTTTGGGGGAGCATGAGCTCACGTTCAGCTGGGACACCCTGCACCACAAACAGTGAGGAGAGTCAGCCTCTCATCCCCCTCCATAGCTGAGGCCTGCTGCCCATCTGGGGTCACCTTAAATGTGCCACTGCAGTGGCTCCGCAGGATGTGTTTTTGGCTGGCAGAGAGCAAGCCCAAGCAAAACAACCATCCCTCTGCAGCCTGGTCCCCTGTCTCTGGGGGAGCCCAGCTGCTGGCTCCCCTTTGCCTCTGTTGCCTGCAAGGAAGATATTTTCGGTGTTGTCTGAATGTGCCTGGTCAGGTCTCCCGAGTACCGGCACATCCAAGTGCTACTAGGAAAAGCCAGAGGTCTCTGAAGTCAGCCAAAACAAGCAGGACAGGCGCTTGGCTGCCAGCTCCAGCTGCCACACTGCTCCCGCAGCATGGCTCTGTGCTCATCACCGACAAACATTGCCCTCCAAACCACTTCCCTCCTGCAGCCTGCTTTTAGCTGCCCTGGCCCCCAGCAGGCAAGGATGGCCTCTGGGAGCTGCCAGGTTTCCTGTCACTTGTGATTTGAGCAGGGCTTGAAGTGGGAGAGGACAGAGTCAGGAGCCTGCCGTGGACAAAACCACACACGCTGGGCACCTCCTCCACCAGCCCGGCTAGCCAACATGGCCATGAGGTCTTTGCTGACCTGGAAAAGACTGGCCCAGCGTGGAGGTGACGTGCTCTACTTTCCATTGCCCCATGCTCAGCAGAAGGAGTTACAGAGCTGCTCTTGAGTGTCAGAACTAGGGGGAAAGAAGAGCTGCCCCTTTTGGGGCAAAGACCCCACAAGCTCTTGACATGTCCCCACCGAGCACATGGGCCCAATGGTCCATCCTGCACATCCAGTAACCCAACCCACCGCGCCTTGCATGTGTGTGTGTTCACCCATGCCCCAGCCTCTGGATCCCTGAGGGGTTTTAAGATAGACCCGCACAGCTTGGTCAGGTTGTTGGATAATCCCAGATCCTCTATCTGTGCCTGTGCCAGCATGTGCATAGTTGAGACTCCCTCCTTCCCACAGCTGCTAGCACCCGGTTTAAGTGACACTGCCACTGGTGGAGCCCCATCCTGCTGTGGAGCAGGGACATCCCCTGCGTTGCACAGGCAAAACTCATGCGTGCACCCGCTGACCACACCGAGCTTTAACGTCCTCGGGAATCGCCAGCATCAGCTCATGTTGCTACCTCATCTGCACCAAGAGATGCGAGTACTGAGTGAAGGCTTTTTGGAAACCTCATTCCTTGATTCTGCATTTCCCAGCCTTACAGAGCTTGTGGGTTTTTTTGTTTGCTTGTTTTTTTCCTCCTCCTCCCAAGTTGCGACATCCTGCTAAGGATTTTTCCTTTGAAGCCTTGCTTGCCTCCGAGAAGTGACTGTGCAAAAGTGGCTCCTGCTCCCTGCCTGTTCCCATGTGTCCCAGGAGCCAGATCTGCTGACTTCAGCCACAAAATCAAGTTGTCACAGCCTCTTCCTCCCATTAGTCCTGCCAGTCTGCCCCAGGAGGAGAGAACAGGATTTTCTCTTCTGTGCATCAGCAGAATTATTCACCAGCTTGGTTTCATGCTTACAACTGGGAGGCCGTGGGAGACGGTGAGAAAGCCGGCTTGGCTTGCAGTGTCCGTGGGGAGTCTGCATGGCGAGCCGTCAAAAGCATTCAGCTTTCCTTGTGCATGGAGATCACTTGATGCAATGCCTCTCGGACAGCGGGAAGTGGCAGGCTGCCGTGGTTTCAGAGCCAAGTTCTTTTCTAGCCTTTATACTAGCTAAGCATCTTTGCCCAAGGCTTTCTGCTCCTCCGAGGGCACAGCCCTGTTTGCAGAGGACCGGCCGTGCAGCTCCCTGATGCACACGGCTGGCTTGGAAACCGCACCGTGGTCAAACACGGGGCTGTCACCTTTCTGCTGGCCCCCACACCATGCAATGAGTGTCCCCATCCCTGCGCTGTGGTCCCAGACACAGGGTGCAACAATTGCTGTTCCCACATCTCGCTGCACTCGGCTGATCCAGGACGAAGGCAGCAAATCACCCTCTGGAGCTTTGAGGGTGTTTGACACTGAGCAAACCCAGAGTGACTGTGACAGCCCTGTGCCCTCCCAGGTCCAGCCATCACTTCAGTCTGAGCGTAGAGAAGCTGACGCACAATGAAGCGGTGAGATTCATCCCAAGACACCGTGGGTCACTTGATCAGCTTTGAGCCTGGAAGCCAAGAAAACCATATTCTGCCTCCAGTACTAGCCCCGTGTGCTGATTTGGCTTTTCCCACTTCCTGCAACTTAAGCAGCATTTATCATAACAGGGAACCAGCTCCTGCAAAGCAGCACGGCTGGTCCTGCTGATGAGTCAGTGCTCGGTCCAACTGCAGGCACCTTGGCAGGAGAGAGCCGTGCCGCAGGTGTAACAGCCACATTAACATCAGCTCTACTCAGGATGGGGGCATCATCTCCTTTTCTAATATATTTTCCAGCTCGGCGGGATTCTCCAGGCAATGGGGAGCTATAAATTCAAAGCACACATGAAGAAAAGCGTGACCAGAGCCTTTCAAGCCTTTCCAAGTAGATGTGCCTGATAAGATGCCTCCCCAACAAGCGTTTAATGCTGTTTGGGATGATAAAACGAAGGCCAAGGATGCTTCAAAGATAGGTAAAGCTCTCCAAGAACAGGTCTGGTAATTTGTTTTGCAAGGCAGGCAAATAAGATGAAGCTATCCAGAACGGTGCTCTGGCCTCTCTCCCCCATGACAGGTCCTCTGTATGCCATCATCCCTCCTCAGCCCATGTGTGTCCTCCCCTCCTTGGGGATGGAGGCAACTGTGCCTAAAATGCCATGGCCCCTCAGACTCCCAGCTTGCTACCAGTCTCCTACATCCCATGAGTACCATCACTGCTTTCCAAAAAAGGTGGGTTTTGGGTGGGGTAGAGGCTCCCATCCTGGTCCCTGGTCCAGGATGGATCCAGAGTTTGAGTCAAGGATGTAAGGAAGGACCTTTGCTGAAGGACCTCAGCTTTAAGGCTTTCACATGGCATCTCTCCACACTACATGCAGGGGCACCGGGCAGGAACATCTCACCCCTTTCCCCTCTCTGGGGTAGCTGAAGGGCGAGATAAGAGCTGGGAAACGTGCTCTGCCCTCAGCAGCACTCAAAGCTGCTTTCATGTCGCAACTCACAGAGTGTTTCTCAGGGCTGTGGAGCCCAAGCAAGGCACCAAACCCATCTGCAGCATCCCACGGTCACCATGAAAACCCAGCTTTAGCACTGCACCTGGTCCTTAACGAGGACCTTGCTCCAAACTTCGTTTTCCTGGACTGAGGTGGTAGAAACCACAGACAAAGCCTTTGTCTACTTGCACACACAGCAAGACAGGCACAACAGGAGGAAACCAACAGTTCCTGCCCTCTGCAAGGTCTTGGTGCGGATCTCCATCCTGGTACCACATCTTGATTGCTGTGCAGAGCTGCACAGAGCTCTAGATTATGACTTAAGTCTCACATACAGCCTCAAAACAGCCCTGCTTGTGGAAAAAACCCAAATAATGGTATATTTTCTTCCCTTTCCAAGATTGGGCAAAGAATGTTTCAAGGGGTGAGCTGTTGCCCAAGCCATTTGCTCAAGTTTTGTCTTCTTGTTTCATCATGGCGTTTATGTTTCTTTTCTCCTGCCTTTAAATCCAAACAAGTCACTCACAGAACAAGCTCCCTTTTAATAAAAGTCATTGATTTAACACAAAACTGACAGAAAGCCCTTCGTTTTTTTCCATCCACAGTATATAGATCAAGATTGAAGCCCCATAATTTAAGCAGCTGCAGTTGATCCACCCTGCAAGATGGCAAATAAGGAAACCTCAAATCCAGGGAGCTTTGAAAAGGCGGGGGCGGGGAAGCCCTACTTAAATAAAAATTACGATAATAATTTCAGGAGGAAGAATAATTGGTGGAATGACGAGAACACATAGGAAGAGCCACAGCAGTTGGCAGATAAAGCCAGAAGGAGAGGGGAGGAGATTCCCTGCCGTGGGAAGGTATGGAAATTTGAGTCTTTGACAAATTCTCAATAGAGGCGGTTCAGGGAAGATGGTAGCAGATGTCTTGGAGAAAGCAGAAATCTCTGGTGTTTCTTTTATTTAAACAAATGAGTTTCAAGTGTGAGAACTCTTTGTACTGTCTCATTTTGGGAATATTTTCTTTAATACGATAACAGTGAGACCCAGGCCAGTGGCATCACTGATATATCACTTAAAGATGCTGAGAAGTCAGATGAGCTCAGAAGCTTCACCCTGTTCAGCAAACACTCAACCTGCCTGGCCAAGGCCACAAAAGACTTGTTTGTCTTAAATGGCAAAGATGCTTCAGCTCTGCTCCTCTCTGAGAGGCAGCCTCTGCAAACATCCTCCCTGCTCATGGAGGAACAAAGCCTGAATCAGCGGCCCATCTCTGTGCCTCTTGTGGCTGGACATATGGTCAGCCAGTGACTCAGGGTTGTACTTAGGATTGACACTGCCTAGTGCAGACAGGTTTCTTCTGAGGAAGAAGAAAAGGCTTGTTTAGGATTTAAAAAAAAAAAGGTACATGAAGATAGACAGATAGATGCATACAGATAGAGGTACTGACCAGGAACCACAAGGAGCCACCCTGCAGCTATGGAGAAAGGGATCATCTTTTCCTTGTTACTTTCCTCTTCCAAGCAGAAACAAGGCATGGAGAGATGTCCTAGGGTTGGCAGGTCTAAGTGGGGCAGAGAGCCCCTGCGCTTTTGCGTGGTGTCCGGCACTGGGCTTAGTACCACTCTCCCTGTGCCAACACAGCCAGGCTCATAGGTACCACCCACATCCTTGGCATGGTTCGGTAGGTCTGCGGACTTGGGCATGTTCCTGTCAGGATCTGCCAGAGACCTGCAACTTGCAACATTGCCCTTATCCAGTTGATGGCTCTGCAGCAG